TTTTGGTTTAATATTATAAATTTTATAAAGATAATAATTAAGTATTCTGTTAGAATTTAATGATTATACTAATTATATATTATATTTTTTATATTTAAAATGAGATGTTTATCTTGTATTTGATTGTGTTTATCTGCAGTTAGTTACACGAATTCAGATATGGGATGAAATCGGATAGGGATAAAACCGTTTAGGGATGAACGAGTGTAAAAGTTTTTAAGAGTTTTAGCCAAATGTTTTATAAGATAGTATAGATTATATCATAATCTTATGTTATTTTGTTACCTATGCAGATTTTTAGAAGTTCCTGGCCAGTCCTGAAACAGTCCTATAGGATTCTTTTGCTAGAGTGGTGTTGTAGCAGTCTTCTACAAGATGAAATCAACAAATAATTCAAGAGAGAGAGAGAGAGATCGATTGAGATTGATGAAAATTATGGAGAGAAAATAACCAAAAATACATAGTTCTAACTATTTATTAAAATTTAAATTTAAAGTATTTAAAATCTATTGTAAAACTACAATTTCCTTAATTTTTTAATCAACTCAAATCCGAAAATTCTTCAACGTTATTGAAAAAAAAAAAGGATGGCCTAAATGGGTTTGTAACATTTTGGATGGTTTGCAAATGATTACCCCTCTCTCTCTCTCTCTCTCTCTCTCTCTCTCTCTCTATATATATATATATATATATATGATTAATACACATTCATTATGAACGCGTATTGTTCATGATGAATAACCCATGGATGCAAGGGACCTATGTCGCTGTCCTTTATCCCCCGGTTCACAACTGAAACTCAGTTTTCATTTGAATCCGCCTCTATCTCTTCGCTTCTATCTATGTATTAACATACACAAATGTATTAAATATGCACATAAGATGTAGACAACGTAAACAATTTTAAGAAATTTTTACTATAGTATTCCCAAAGTTCACATGATATTCACAAGTGATAGCTTTAGATTTAGTTCTATTGATTTAGTCGGTATTCACAATATATTCACAAACTATACCATATCTCATTAATTTAGAGTGTGTTCATATATAATGTTCATAATGTATAATAGTATTTTTTTTTAATGTTTACAATGTGTTCATCTTGTATGCATATTCAATTATGTGTGTGTTCGTATATATTATGGAAAGAGGAGAGAAAATTGGAGATGTGAGAAAAATAGGAGAGAGGAGAGAGAATGATAGGGTTTTAATTTATATTAGATTTTAGTTTTAAATTATTATTTTTTTTGGTTAAAATTGGCTCTCAAATTAATGTATATCCAATTGATGAACATATTCATATATAGGTTAACGTTGTACAATACTAATACAACAAAATATTCAATCATTAAAATTAGAAGAATTTCATCCCTATTTTTAAATATAAAATATTTAAATTATAATAAAAAAATTATCAGACTTTTTTTAATTAACATGGATATCCAACCTGCTATACGAGCCGACTAATCTCAGGACAGGTAGCCCGGAATCACCGGCATTTAAATCTTCGTGGTCATAAGGGGATTTTTGTTCTTTATTGGATTTGAACCAGAGACCTTCAGACACTTTTGACTTTTGAAGCCAAGTTCAAACCAATTAAACACCACCCTTGTGGTTGGTTTTTTTACCAATCGTAAGATACTCGTTTTTGATAAAAGATTCTTGTTTTTTGGTATAATCTATTTGATACAAAATTTAATTAATTAAAATAATGAAGAAGTGTTACGTTGTATTTATAACAACCACAATAATTAAACCTCAATAATTATTTTGTATTTGAATATGTTTATCACTTGATTATTAATACTTAGTTTATAGAGTTAAAGGAGTCTTAAAATATTGTACATATGTTATTATTAAGTTTTTAACACAATAAATAGTTCAACTCTTAACTCTTCAAACTAAAAAAGGAACAAGTTTTTTTTTATTAACCTCGATATCCAACCGCTATGCGAGCCGACTAATCTCAAGATGACCACCTGTTTTGCAAATAGCCTGGAGTCACCACATTTGAACCTCCGCAACCACAAGAGGATTTTTGTTCCTCCTTGGATTTGAACCTGGAACCTCCATGTACTTTTAACCTTTGAAGCCAAACTCAAACCAATCAGGCACCACCCTTTGTGATTGGAACAAGTTTTTACTGAAAACATATGTCGATAAGACGATATATATAAGATCAACTCTCTTTATCATGCACTTTTCTTTACGATCCATCACTCCCCTAACTTCCGTTAAAACTCGCAATCGAAAGTATTCGCATAATCTTCTTTGTCGAAAGTAGTATGTTCGTCGATATTACTATCCTAAACTTATTCGTTTACGGTATGTTTTACAGACCAAACTTTCCAAAAACGCGTTTCGCTCAAAAGTCGAAACCTAAAAAGCCTCGATCAACGAATCATAATCATCGAATTCCTTTGTACGCGAAGTGTTATCATCTTACTCGTGAAAAATGGATCCTAAGTTATCGTAAAAATCATGACACTACAAGCCATAAAGTCAACTCAGATACTTGTGCTAACCACATGCATTTATGACAAATAAAACGACCCATAATCAATTATATATATATATATATGAGCCACTAGTGACCCTAATGGCTCTATCCCGATTCATTTTCTTGTCTCCTTTCTAACCATGGGCACCATTGATGACCGGGAAAAGTACCCTCCCACCGCCGGCGATGGTGATGACCTTTCCCCAATTGAAGAAGTCCGGCTAACCGTGACTAACACCGATGACCCAACCTTGCCGGTATGGACCTTCAGGATGTGGTTCTTAGGCTTGCTCTCTTGTGGTCTTCTTTCTTTCATCAACCAGTTTTTTTCTTACCGAACTGAACCACTGGTCGTCACTCAAATCACAGTCATAGTGGCCACGTTACCGATTGGTCACTTCATGGCAGCGATTCTCCCGGAGACCAAGTTCCGGCTGCCGGGATTTGGAACCAAATCGTTTTCCTTGAACCCAGGTCCGTTTAACATGAAGGAGCATGTGCTTATTTCAATATTTGCTAATGCTGGAAGTGCGTTTGGAAATGGATCAGCCTATGCCGTCGGCATTGTCACCATCATTAAAGCTTTTTATCACCGGAAGATTTCTTTTCTGGCCGGCTGGTTGCTAATTATTACTACCCAGGTAATGTGTGTGTATGTGTGTATATATATATATATATATATATATATATATATAAAACCTAATGACTTGTTCCTCTCCGGTGAACTTGATGGTAGTTTTTCCGGCGAATTAATGTAGAATTTTGATGGTGGTTCCGGCAGGTGTTAGGATACGGATGGGCGGGGTTGCTGAGGAAATATGTGGTGGAGCCGGCTCACATGTGGTGGCCGGGGACTCTTGTTCAGGTGTCCCTTTTCCGGTAAAGCAATTTCATGCCTTACAAATCAATTAATTTTACATTTATGTTCAATTTATTTCGATAACATAACGTAAAATATTGGAAATTACTATTACAAGTAATTATGATATTAAAAGTAACATCTAATTTATGATCAAACATTTATCTTAAACTTTTCTCTAAAATAAAGAATAATAAAAAAGAAAGAGAAAGAAATTCTTTTAATTTAAAATAAAACAGAGAAAATATAACATAACTGTTAAAAATATTCTTTATGTTTATAACAAATTCACAAAAAATAATAATTGCGGTTTTTGTAAGTTTCAAAAGAATATTCTATCAAATGATTAGCAATTGTCGTCTCTACATGGAATTTCTTCGTTTAAAGACGATCACATAATTTTCGTTTGACAAATGATATTTATTGATGAAAATGACACAAAAGTTAAATAAATTACATTAAAACTAGAAGGATACTCAGTACAATGTAACGAGATATATTTCGATTTTAATATTTTGTTTTATTTCTTTTTTTTGTCTCAGTCGATATTATAGTACGATTTTATGTGGTTTTGAGAAAACGTAATGTTTTTATTTTTTAATAAAATGCAAATATGAAAATATCATAAAATTTGAAAAAATTATTGATACTAGTACCAAATTAACTATTTAAAATTTCTACATTTTTTGTGTATTTCTTTAATTTTTTTTGGTTTAGTAATATAGTTTTTTATAAAGATAATAATTAAGTATTTTGTTAAAAATCAATTACTATCATAATTATATTTTAGATTTTTTATATTTAAAATAAGATTTTATTCTTTATTTACTTATATTTATCTGCAGTTAGTTATATGAATTCAAACATTAAACTTTAATAAGTTGTGTATTTATGCACAATTTTATTTGTAATCTTGAATTTTAAGTAATATGCATCAATAAACAGTACTTCATGAATAATAAACGGTTTTTAAGAGTTTTTGTCAAATGTTTTATAATATAGTATAGATATATAAAACATATCTTCTTTCGTTTCTTTTTGAAAAACTTACTTCTAAAAACTCTTGTTCGAGTTTACGCCAAAACCTTTTTAAAAAAGAAGATTTAATATACTTTGTGTTCACAATGTGTTCTTCTATTGAAAACATAATATACTATCTTATTAAAACATTAAAGTGTTCTTCATAATAAATTTCCAAATAAAAACCAGATATAAATCATGTAAAATTTTCTTAAACCTATATATACATATCAACTTTCGCATACACACAAAAATAAAGGTATTCGTGATGCTCGTTACGGGGTGTTTATGATTGCTTATAAAAACAACTTATTGACTTATTTCGGTATGACACCGGTAATAAGCATTTTTGAGAGTTTGGATAAACAACTTATACCGGTGTCAAACCGGTGATAAGAAATTTTAAAGAAGTTAAACTTTTTTGACTTATAATAAGTTGATAAATGCTTTTATAAAATAATATAAACAGGGCCGTCCCTGGGGGAGGGTGAGCCGGGCGTACGCCCAGGTCCCATAAAAATTACGGGCCCAAATTTCTTTAATATATATAATAGTAGTTCAAAAAAATTAGTAAATAGAAGACATAAGAAAATTAGTATCTAATATGACAAGAAAATATTTTGGTACTACATTAACTATTAAAGACTCAAACATATATGAATTAAATATATTAGAGAAAAAAAATACATAACGAGATTAATCTGTCATTCATTATATAATATTATTTAATGTTTTTCTATGTTTTTTTCTATCTAAAACCGACGTCTAAAACTACTTGCTTCGAAAACTTTGATATATTCTCTATAACATATCTCCCATCGACTCTTTTGATTATTTCATTCTCGCATGAATTCTATTTTTATATTATAATATGATAGATTTTCTTGTTATTAGCTAACAAAACCCTCATCTTTCGAAAAAATTACCAACCATATAAGACGGTACAACTTATATGTATATTTAGAATAATAAAACTATAATTGTTTTTTCATAGTTGTTTTTTATTATCTAATATTGAGTGTATAAATCTTATGTATTATTCTATCTCTAAAAGAATAATAAGATCTCAAATTATCACCAACATGAAATTTTTTATTTATATAATCGATGATTCGAGAAAAGTTTGTTTTAACCCTAACCCTATGTTCTTGAGTCTTCTTTTATGTAGGAAAGAGAGGAAAGTAATAGAGGAGAAAAAATATTCTGTTCTCGATATTTTTTCAGGGAAATGAAAAGAAAAGGAAAGGAAAAAAATTGTATCAAATTTTATTTTTATTTAATTATTTTTCCTTCCTCTCTCTTTCTATTAACAACATAGGAAAAAAAAAACATTATTTTTCTTCATTTCTTTTATTTTTCTTTTCTCTCATTCCCAAATTCGAAAACATAATATAAAATTTTAAAATGATGTTAAAAAACATTAACATGAGATCACTGGAAAACCAACCTATTTACATTGATTTGCATAATGTCACTCGGAATCAGAAGAATCGACTTTATGACCTCAAATGATGTCATTATATGTACTAAAAGTATATGATATGATGTTTTTGATGATGAAACAAATTATCGATAGTACATAAAAATGTTCTAGTAGATAATATTAATTTAGAAATGAATATTGATTGATTTTGCATCCAGAAATAGTAGGAAAAACGGTTTTATATGAATTCAATGTTAATTCTGATGATAAAAACAATATATTGAAAAAAAATATCGTACTTATCAATGGCTCATTTTTACATCTCGCCCAGAGGCTAACACCCCTATCCATGAATTTCTTCCTCACACACATTAAAATCAATACATGCTTTTTACATTATCAATGCTTAAATGACCTGATTCTGACATCAAAGGGGTGCCATTAGCACTCCCCTAAATATAACCATTATTAATTTCCACTCTTTGCGTTAAAGTCCAAGCTATGATCGGAATCATGGACGCAAAAGTCAATTACAGTTAGTCATAGATGATGGCTACATCCGTGACCAGTTGACCATATAACTCTATCTCCAAGTCCATACCTATACTATGGAATATGGAGTATGGAATAGGAATCTCCAATACTTTATTATTAATGATTAAAACATGTATTACATAGTAATATCTATACGATATTATAAAGTATTTGATAAAAAAATTTAAAAATTAATTTTTTTATATATAAAATATTATATATTGATACTATATTATTTAAAATTATAATTAAAATATATATAAATATAATTTATTAAAGTTCAATGTTTAAATTCGTATAACTAACTATGGATAAATATAATCAAATAGAGGATAAATATCTTATTTTAAAATATAAAATATAATTAGGATAATTATCGAGTTTTAACAAATAATTAATTATTATTTTTATAAAAAAAATTATATTATTAAACCAAATATAAATTACTTCGTTATTATACCTAAATTAAATTATAATGAAATAATTGAATTAAAAAGTTATACCAAAAATAGGAATTTTAAATAGTTAATATGATACTAATATCGATATATTTTTGTCAAAGTTTTATGATATCTTTATATTTATATTTTATTCAAAAATGAAAACATCATCGTTTTCTTAAAATCACATAAGACCATACTATAACATCGACTGAGATAAAGAATAAAATGAAATATTAAAATCAAGATATATCTCACGGCATTGCACAAATACCCTTCTAGTCTTTAAAAAAATAGAAAAGTACGCACGCAATGCAGCGAAATACATTTTGATTTTAATATTTTTTTTTTGTCTCAGTATATGTTATAACACATATTCATGTGGTTTTGAGAAGACAAATTTTTTTTATTTTTGAATAAAATATAAATATAAATATATCATAAAATTTTGAAAAATATAAATTGATATTAGTATCAAACTAACAATTTAAATTTTTTTTTGTTTTTTGTGTGATTTTTTAATTCATTTTTCTTATTTTTGCTTTATTAATATAATTTTTTATAAAGATAATAATTAAGTATTTTGTTAGAACTAAATAATTATTATAATTATATTTTATATTTAAAATGAAATGTTTATCATCTATTTGATTATGTTTATCTGTAGTTAGTTACATGAATTCAAACATGGAGCTTTAATCAACTGTACTTATATATAATTTACTTGTAATCTTAAATTTTAAATAATATGCATCAATAAACACTACTTAATACATAAAAAAATTGTTTTTAAGAATTTCTATTAAATACTTTATAATAATATGTCCCTAGTGTTTTTTCGGTACACTCCCAATCACATGTGAATAATAATATGAATCTATATTCCATTAAAACCGGTATATTCGTGCTTACGTCTTCAACATATAACCGGAATTATAATGCTTTTATCATTTATCTGAATTTGCAGGGCGTTGCATGAAAAAGACGATCAACGTATGACACGTGCAAAATTCTTTCTAATCGCGCTCATTTGCAGCTTCTCGTGGTACCTTGTCCCAGGATACTTCTTTTCAACGCTCTCGAGCATCTCATGGGTCTGTTGGGCGTTCTCTGGTTCAGTCAAGGCGCAACAGTTAGGATCGGGCATGAAGGGTCTCGGGTTTGGAGCCATAACACTTGATTGGTCCGTTGCAGCATCGTTCTTATTCAGCCCTCTAATCAGCCCGTTCTTTGCCATTGTTAATGTGTTTTTGGGGTACGCATTGATAATCTACGTTGTTATGCCATTGTCGTATTGGGGTGTGGACTTGTATGGTGGTCGAAGATTCCCCATATTCTCATCACACTTGTTTACGGCTCAGGGTCAGAAGTATAACATATCAACGATTGTGAATGACAAATTTGAGATAGATATGATCAAGTACGAGGAACAAGGGCGGATCCATCTAAGCACATTCTTTGCTCTAACTTATGGGTTCGGATTTGCAACTATTGCATCCACTCTAACCCATGTTGGATTCTTCTATGGAAGGTGAGATTTAGTTTACGACATCGTAAAAGACCCATTTTTTTGTAGCGACTTTGACGAATCTAAGCCTATAACCGGCTCGGGCTTGTCTTAAGGACAATCTAGTTGTTCATTTAGTGAAGTTTCTTCGATAACCATTTACGTTGGAATCATAAATTGCAGAGAAATCTATGATCGATATCGAGCGTCGTACAAGGAGAAAGAGGACATACACACAAGACTCATGAAGAGATACAATGACATACCCAACTGGTGGTTCCATCTGTTGCTACTAGTGACACTCGTGATCTCTCTTATTCTTTGCACCGTCTTAAATGATCAAGTCCAGATGCCATGGTGGGGGCTTATCTTTGCTTCTGCCATTGCCTTCATCTTCACCCTTCCAATAAGCATCATCACTGCTACAACAAATCAAGTAAGCACATGAGACAGATTTAGCTGTATAGCCAGTTTTAACATATGACTTTTCAAAGATTTGAATCAGTTTTGTTTTGTATACAGACTCCAGGGCTGAATATAATCACCGAGTACATTATGGGTGTTATCTTACCAGGAAGACCGATAGCCAACGTATGTTTCAAGGTTTATGGTTACATGAGTATGACACAAGCCATTTCCTTCCTGAGTGACTTCAAGCTTGGACATTACATGAAGATTCCTCCTAGATCGATGTTCTTAGTTCAAGTATGCTACATTGATGTGTTCTTATACATCATATCGACTTCTAGATGAAAATACTAACGAAGGGTTTGTTTGAACAGTTTATAGGAACTATCTTTGCGGGAACTATCAACCTGGTTGTGGCGATATGGTTGCTAGATTCAGTCGATAACATCTGCCAAGACGAACTCCTGCCATCCAACAGTCCATGGACATGTCCAGGGGATCGAGTCTTTTTTGATGCATCGGTGATATGGGGTTTGGTGGGTCCAAAACGGATATTTGGAAGTCTAGGAAACTACAATTCTATGAACTGGTTCTTTCTTGGAGGTGCATTAGGACCCATCATAATCTGGCTCTTCTACAAGGCATTTCCTAAACTATCTTGGCTTCCATTGGTAAACCTTCCGGTGATTCTGGGAGCAACAGGTGCCATGCCGCCGGCTACACCGGTAAACTACAATGCATGGATTATAATAGGGATAATATTCAACTATTTTGTTTTCCGGTACCGGAAGAAATGGTGGCAGAGGTATAATTACGTTTTATCGGCTGCACTGGATGCGGGTGTGGCTTTCATGACGATATTGTTGTATTTCTGTCTGGGTGTTGAAGAAAAGGGGGTGAGTTGGTGGGGTACAGACGGTGAACATTGTCCATTGGCGAGTTGTCCGACAGCCAAAGGAATCGACGTCCATGGTTGTCCGGTTAACTGATGAAACGTTTGCTGCAGATTTGTCATGTAATTTTGTCACTTTAAACCTAGTATTAGCTGAACAATCAATGCACACGTATAAATTAGAAGGTCAATGATGATGAAATCACAAGGTCAAGTATTTCTGTAACATATAAATAGTGTAACGCGCGTTATGCGATAGTATTAGTATTTTGTTTAATGATATGAAGATTGTCTATTTGAAGATATGTTAGTTGTTAATAAAATCATCAACAAGTAGTATTCAAATAATTCGAAAACACAAAGTGACAATTTTACCCTTTTACTGATTCGACCCTAGAGGCTGTGGAAATCTGAAGGGTTTGATAAATCCGGGCTTACCGAGCATCCTTCTTGATTGAACCGATTTCGAATTTGAGAAAGAATCTTCACGGGAGAAGGTCGGATCTTATAGTCCAGGAAGTTGGGGCAGAGGTTGTGTATGCACATAGATAAGTGTTTCATGATGAGGTTAAGAGTGAAAGGAAGATCGACAAAATATTGAAAGATGAAGTGGAGGTGTAATACTTCTGGCGAAGCACTTTGTACCACATTGATCATTTGTCATTCAAGTTATAAGAAATGCCCGCCATAATGAAAAAAGTATAATAAATATCTCTACGAGTTAGGTAGATTGAAAGTTAAATCTAATTAAATTAAAAGTGAAATTACCAAATTAGCCTTTTTATAATGAAATACATATTTTCCATTTAGGGGTATAATAGTCTTTAATTTATTTAATATATTAAAAACTCAAAATAATGAGAATTTTTTTTAGACAAATCCTACCTTAAGAATGTGCACATGAGTCTTTGTATGTTTTGCTTTGATGGATGATTCAGTAAAACAAAAGAAAGAAAATGTTAAATATATATATGTGGATAAAAAAACAGAATAGAAAACCGAAAGGTCTAAGACATTTATGACTTAACGAAAGACAATTAATATAAGCAACATAAATATTTAAAAAATCTAAAAATTTGAGAAAAATGATTTTAGAAATAACTCTTCCACAAAGTAAAAATATGAAAAAAGTATAATAAATGTCTCTAGGAGTTATGTAGATTGAAAGTTAAAGCTAATTAAATTAAAAGTGAAATTACCAAATTAGCCTTCTCATAATAAAATACATATTTTTCATTTAGGGGTATTATAGTCTTTAACTTATTTAATATTTTAAAAACTTAAAATAATAAGAAAATTCTTTTAGACAAATCCTACTCTATGAATGTGCCACATCATTCTTTGTATACACTAGACATATCATATAAAAAGGGATTTAAGTTTGATCATGTCTGGCATCTCCTGAAACATTCCGCGAGTTCATCAAATGTCACTGCATTGCCTCGACAAAGTCCTTATCAATCACTTTCTTCTGGTCCTGGTTCATCGTCAGGGACAGATGCCGATTTACCCTCGTTCAATATTCACGACGAAGAATGTATTACTTTAACTCAAAGACCAATTGGTGGGAAAAAAGACAAAATCAATACTTCAATCTAATAATAAACTAGAGACTCCAGTCAAGGCTAGTAAAAAATGAGCAAAGTCCTCGTTACAAATAGTTGTTGCTATTTGTTTTCTTATACTAAACTTCCATGCTTTAGCATTATAAAAGGATAGTTTTTATGTCAACTTTGATGTCAACCTCATTCTTCTAACATGATTATTGTTCTGGGCTACTTCCTCCGTTCCAAAATAAATATCCACAATAAAAAAAACACACACAATTTAAGAAATATGTAATTATTTATTATTACACTTCATAATTAGCCGAATGACAATTACGACAGAGGCACACATTCTCTCTCTATCACATCAACTCTTAAATATTATTCACATCATTATCAAGGGTAGAATTGAAATGCCCCATAAATAATCCAAACGTCTATTAGCTATTTTTACAAATATAGTTAATGACGGAAAAACCCATTAAGTTAAGAGTAATATCGTCTTTTACTGCTTTTTTCGTCCCTATGGTTTTCATGTTGCTTCTATTTCTGTCCATAAAGCTAACAACATTAGAAAAGACCCATTAAGTTTAGTGTAATTTGGTTTTTTACCTTTTTTATTAATTTCCCTTATTTTCTTGTAAATAGTTTCAATAACTACATAATATAATATACACCCCTGTTGACCAAACCCTCCATCTCCTCTAGGATTCGATGTCGATAAACTCCACGATGGCATCTCCCACATCTCTTTTCACTAGTCGTCATTCTTCAGCGTACCCCTTCCCTATTCTTCTTCTCGATTTTGTAAATCATACCCAAATACATAACTTAAAATGGGTTAAATCTAACTGCTATAGAGTGCAGTGGACAAACCATGGCTGCAAAACTAAAATTAATCGGAGAGGGAAACCAATATGGCAAATACGTAATCACTCAATTCTCATTTCTACAAACCCTAATTCAACCTCTCTTACCTGCAATTAGGGTTTTCAAAAGCTTCCCTTTCAATGGATTCTTAGTGTTTTTGATACTTTATTGTTAGGAACCATAATTTCAGGTGTGTGAGGTTTAATCCTTATTTAATTGACTCTTTTAACAGAGTTAGTCTGAGAGATGAAAAAACAATAATTCAAAAACCCCAGGTACTAAAAAAGCAGTTTATAAACCAAAAGGACAAAAATCATTATGAACGCCAAACCACATAGACGAAAATCATAGTTTACTCGTAGTTCTTTTAAGGGAAAATTGCACCAAAATGAAACCAACTTTCACCTGATTCCTATTTTAGGGAATCAACTTTCAAAATCGTCATTTAGGGGTCTCTATCAAACTTTTTGTTTATTTAAGGGTCTGGTTGATCTGTTGAACATGTAACAGGTAATTTAAGGGTCTTTATCAAACTTTTGGTTTGATTTGCGAAATTTGATTTAAACTTTAATATTGTTACGAATTGGTTTAATGTAAAAATCTTGAATGTGTTATTTAATATTTAATTTTTATTGTATCAATTAACTTTTTTCTATTGAATTGATTTTTTTATTGCATTGGTAAAAAACAATTTTTATTGTGGTAATTTGGATTTTTTTTAAATCTTCAATTTGATATCTGAATTTTAAAAAAATGAGATTTGAAATGAAAAATAAATTTTATTGCATTAATTTTTGAAGAAAAAAAAGAATTTTAATTATTTTTCTATAATTATTTTGCAATTTTAAATATGACGTGAAATATTAGTTTTAAAATAAAAAATTAATATGACGTGAAATATCTTAGTCGACAAAAAATCTGTATGATATCAGCATTAACAGGTCAACCAGACTCTTAAATAAAAAAAAGTATGATAGAGACCCCTAAATAATGATTTTGAAAATTGATTCATCAAAATAGGAATCAGGTGAAAGTTGGTTTGATTTTGGTGAAATTTTAAGATTGTTAAATATTGGGTTGTTTTAGATCAAAATGGCCAGGAATTCCAGTTTTGGGCTTCAGAAATATGGGCTCAAAAGTCAAAACATAACCCTAAGTCCCTCATTATAAACCAGGTTATAGAAACCTGACGATTAACAAAAACTCGGCGGCGATTGAGACGGAAAGATGCAGATCTTCGTGAAAACCTTGACCGGCAAGACCATCACGCTCGAGGTTGAGAGCAGTGACACCATCGACAATGTGAAAGCTAAGATTCAAGATAAGGAAGGTATGTGTTTGTATGCTTTTATTGTTTCTCTGGAAGCGAGGTATTAGTTTTTGTATGAGTGGATGTGAATTTGTTTCTGAAATTATAGGTATTCCACCGGATCAGCAGAGATTGATCTTTGCCGGCAAGCAGCTTGAAGATGGCCGAACTCTCGCTGATTATAACATCCAGAAAGGTTTGTGTATGCCGACTTTTTCATTAAAATTGTTTGATTTAGACACAGTATTTAAAGGTTTTCTACTTACGTGAATTTTACAGATTCTGAACTGGTAGAAGTCATGTTGTTTATATTTCCTAATAGACCTTAACGAGAAGGGTAAATTAAATCTGAATGAAACGTACTTTGTTTGACGGTTTTATTCATGAATGATTTGTTTTTACATATTCATAATGATTGATCAATTGTATAAAACCACAGTACAAATTTGTATCATCCTTTCTTTTCATGTTGATGCAATTTGCCCTTAATGAAAACTTTGTGCCGATAAACTATGTGTATAAGTGCTTTTTTGCTGGCTTCATGGTTCAGATTTTCCAATTCCATTGACAGATAATTTTTTGATTTTGAATTAGAGTTTATGCGTGTTAGTTTAAGTCCATTACTCTTCCGTTTATGTTTATCTAACTGCATTTATCCTCATATTTTCATTGAGAATGAGGTCCCCATAAAACTTAGATGTTAAATGAGCAAAATGAATGCCAGCTGCTCTATTTCAGCATCATTTTTATGCAAAGGGGGATGCTGCAAGATGTTTAGATTTACTTGTACTTTGAGGGGCCGTAATCTTTTTCAAACTTCTACCGGTTTCATTTTAATCATACCCAATAAGTTTGGACAAAATGCTCTGTGTCTAAAATGGCTGATCAAATTTAATATTGAATATGCATTGCTATTATAGTTTATGCTGCTTCTTGAATAGGTTAAGCATTTTTGAGTGATTGCAAAATTCTGTTATGAGCTTGCTAATTTGAATATGGTGCTTATTCTGTAATATTTATTTTTGATTCAGAATCCACTCTCCATTTGGTTTTGAGGCTAAGGGGAGGAATCATTGAGCCTTCTTTGATGGCATTGGCTAGGAAATACAACCAAGACAAGACCATTTGCCGCAAGTGAGTTGATTTCTTCTTTGTTCTATTTACCTCCCGAGATCCTCCCATTGGAAAAGTAGTGTCTTTATGCAAATTTCAATAGAGTTGTGCAAGAAAACTGTCTTCAAATGTCTCCTATATTTTAAAGTGAACTAATTATGAGCTGAGTAGCTTTTGGTCTTTTGGTTACTATAATGGATTTCTCCTATATTTTACTGTGAGCTCTTTATGGGCTGAGTAGCTTTTAGTCTTTTGGTTACTATAATGAAATTGTATCAACATTCCTTCTATATTGTGTCTAGGACAATTCATTCCGTTATAAATAGTCCACTTCTTTTTGTTTTATAGCTGATCATCCCTGGAATATACTATTTTCAGCTGTTTATACTGTTCATATGTTCATTTGTTTCCGATGTGTGCGTTTGGTATATGTGGGAGTGGGACTGGACAATGCTTAGCGCGGATTAGAGCAGGACGTAGCAACCTGAGTGGATAGGTGTGACAAAAGTCATAGATATGGGACAAGAGTGTTAAATTTACTAAATTACCTATTCCAATTTGAAACCCCAAACTGGCCGCTAAGTTTTCACCTGCCTACCTCGGTCGCCTATCCAGTATTGGTCTATGCAAAAACACATCCTAAGAAATCATCTTTTATTTAAGTAATTGTTAATATTTTTTTATTGTTGTTTATGAACATTTTATAGTTAGTCATCCTAATTGCATAATGCTTTCTGGACCTCATTTGTAGCTGAGGGTTGTGGTTAAATTGTTCAGGTGCTATGCTCGTTTGCACCCGAGGGCTGTAAACTGCCGGAAAAAGAAGTGTGGCCACAGCAATCAGGTTTATTATCTTCTTAATTTCCTTTTTTATGTAAAACTTCTTTTGATATATTAATTGGGTGATTGAACATTTGTGATGTTGCAGCTGAGGCCAAAGAAGAAGATCAAGTGAAGAGTTGAGTATTGTTTTATGTGTTGGATCTGGGTCAAAATGTGTTTATTACATTAGATATTCTGGATATGTTGGTTGTTTTTGCTTGCAAATTTCCATTTTTTTTCTTGAGAGTTGATTATTATGGTTCAGATCCATTTGATTGAAAAAGATGGACTTTTAGGTTGATTTAAGGTGCTGTTTACCAAACGTTTACTCGGGTAAGTGACCATCAAATCTCATTACTTTACCGGATAAATATGGTAAGGACTAAAAATCTTACCCGATAAAAGCAAAGTCTTACCCGATAAGTGAGAGCGATTGACTCTTACCACGATAAGCGTTTACCGGGTGGATATCGTTTTAATGGACTAAAATCTTATCTGGTAAGTAAATGATAGTGTTAAATTTACCGATAAGCGTTTGGTAAATGGGCCCTTAATTAGATATGGGCAAACGTAATTGGGCTCTAGTAGCCGGTTACAGCAACTGATCCGGAAGTGATATAAGTCCATCATCAGCCTTTCTGTAACTGGGATTCGAAATGTTGCAGCAACCATTCTTTCTTCTACTCAATTTCAACTTCAAAACTTTCATCTTCTAATTCCACAATCAATGTGGGATGATGAAACTTAACCATATTTCAAAATTTGAGGATTATTCAAATTTCATGTTGTCAAGTCGTCATCCTTGATTTTCCTTTTAAATATATAAAGAATAGTGTTCCAACTACGTGTTGTGTGGTAACGATAATATCATCTTCAAAAGGAATGTTATAGACTAAAAATTTGAAGTTCTCCTCTAAAAGATTTAGGCAAATGTGTGTGGTAACTACTTATTAACATTAAAATTTTAAGAGGAGTTGTTCACAACAACAACGATATTGCAAAGTAATTTATAAATGTTTGATTAATGTTAGTAGTTTGTTTAATTATAAGTCACAATTTTAACTGAAATCTCATCTAAGGTTATAAAATCACAATTTTAATTTTATAACAAATTTAATTGAAATCTCATTTGAAGTTATGAAGAAAAAAACGTTCTATAATATTTCAAGTGAAAATTAAATGAGTGCGTAAGTTATAGCAACAATAGTGGAAGTTCAAAGGCGATGCATGAAGAACCCATATCACCCGTTCACCAATCTAAGATAATGGATTTTCTCTCATAGAAAAATACAATTAATATCAAGTGTGGTCAATGAACCATATATCAGTTACACTTATCGTAACATTTTATTATATTTGAATTGTAATTAAAGAGGTGCATCAAATCTTGATAGCAGTAACACCTAGGGGTGCACGCGGGTTGGGTTGGGCGGTTTACAACATTTTTACAACTTAACCCAATTGTGGCAGTTTGAAAAAATCTCAACCCAATCCAACCCATTCAAAAGTATAACCCAACTCAACCCTTGTGGGTTGAGCGGGTTGAGTTGGGTTGGGTTGGCGGGTTAGTAGATACTTAAATTTGACGAATGAAATAATTCATAAAACTTAAGTTCATAGACCATATTATAAATCGTTCTATCTAAAAAGGTTACAATAGGTTTACATGACGTTTTCGGACGCTTCAACAAGTGTTTTAGAATGATCTTTAAATAAAATGTCGTATTAGTTTTTTTATATAAATATTTTGAGAAGTGTCCCTAAAACTCATCTATTTATATGACACTTATATTCATATACATATTTCAAGTCGAGTCGTATAAAATAACTAATATGATACTTTATTTTAAAAGCGTCATATAATTTGTTATGACGTCCAAAATCATCCTATAAACATATTGTAACTCTTTTAGATATGACATTTTTCTTGTTTCGTCCTATAAAGAATCATATTAGGACGCTTAGACATTTTAGGCATCCTATAAGATCTAATTATGTTGTAACGAAATGTTATAACTAAACATTTTATTTCCACTAAAGTACAACATCAAATGACAGGGTATTTAGATTGATGGATTCATCAACAAAATATCTATTAGTATCATTCATATTCTCCGACATATCAATTTGTTGTTGCTGCAAAAAAGATTTCAATAATTCTCTTATTAATTAGATTATTTGTCATTATTATTTGATCGTGAATCTCTTTTGGTAACCTATACGTTTAGCTAAAGTGAAATACAAACATAATATCAATAAAAATTATACATTATTAATATATATGCATAATAAAAACACACACACACACACACACATATTATATATATATATATATATATATAATTTTATAAAAATTATATATTAGCGGCGGTTTGGACGGGTTGAGCCAATTTCAACCCTCCTAATTGGCGGTTAACGGTTTGACGGGTGGGCGGTTTGGCGGGTTAGGTTTAATTGGGTTGTTAGCGGGTTGGGTTGCGCGGGTTTCGCGGGTTGACGGTTTTTTGTGCACCCCTATTAACACCAAGAAGACAAATAAATAACTATCTGATGTTGTCAAATCATCATCCTTTGTTTCACTTTTATATTTGCACAATGATTTTTACCATTTAGTTGGTTTTGATTCCAACCATGGTATAGATTTCAAAGACGGTCATCCAAAATAAAACAACCCTATAAGGCAAATCTCATTATTTGACACAAAGACACTCAATCCACCTTTCTTATACACTTTACTTTGTTCTAATATTTCAACTCTTCATCAAATTGGAACAACTAACACTCAACAACAATTCACCATTTGAGAATACTCAATTCTCATGGTGTCACCTCAATACCCAAAGTTTTATTTTTATAATTCTCATGGTGTCACCTCATCACCCCAAGGTTTTACTTTTATATATATAAAGATGTAATAATATAATATAATTAATTTTGCACTATAATTTTTACCATTTTGTTGGTTTGGTTTCCAACAATGGTTATAAATTCCAAAGACGGTCATTCAAAATAAGACAACCTTATGAGGCAAACCCGGTTATTTGACACTAAAGACATCCAATCCACTATCTTATACATTTCATCTTGTTCAAATCTTTCAACTATTCACCAATATGAGATAACTAAAACTCAAGTACAATTCACTATTTGATAATACTCAATTCTCATGATGCCACCTCATTATCCCAAGATTTTCCTTTCATATATATATATATATATATATATATATATATATATATATATATAATATAAAGATATAGATATTTGATTTTTTTATAAAGATTATTTTTTTTGCTGATAAAGGGTTGGTTCATTGGGTTTGCCACAATGAACCAACCCCATAAGTTTGGAGGGTTAGCCAACATAAACTAACAATATGAGTTTATAGGATTAGCCAAGAAAAACAACCCCATGAGTTAAAACAAATATACTTCAGCCTCATCTCATATATCTACCGTCAATTGTCAATCTTTCATCTATACATCAACGTGGGATACTCAAACTCAAGCTCAATGCAAGAAATATATAATACTCAATTCTTAGGGTGTCATCATCATTTCTTTTGGAACTTACTTTTTCATATATAAAGATATATTGATTTTTTTATATAGATAACGTTTTTGCAAATAGAGCGTTGGCCAAAATGAACCAGCCATATAAGTTTGGAGGGTTAGCCAACATGAGCCGACAATAAGATTAGCCAAGCAAATCCAACTCCATGAGTTAAAATAAAGACACTTCAACCTCCTATCAGATACCTACCATCAAATGTCAATCTTTCATCTCTCCTGTAAGATACAAATCTCAATGCTATAAATATAGAATATTTAATTCTTAGAGTTCCATATCATTTCTTGTGGATCTTACATACATACATACATACATACATACATACATACATATATATATATATATATATATATATAAAGATTAATATGTATATATATATTGATGATTGTAAACACAATTTGTTTTTATATAATAAGATTTGTTCTGTAAAAGAGAGTCATGCAAATACGATAAGCTTATAAATCAAGCCTCTTGAGTTGACACAATAAATTTCATCATTTTTTTATGCACATATCTTTATTTCAATCTTTCAATATCTAATCAAGGTGAGATATCTCAAATTCAACCACAATTAACCAATATGTAATTCTCATGATGTACCTAATTACCTCTTGGTTCTTATTTTAATATATGTATATATATATATATATATATATATATACTAGAAGAGTACTCGTGCAATGCAGCGAGACACATATCGATTTTAATGTTCTATTTCATTATTTGTCTCTGTCGATGTTATAATACGATTTTATGTGTTTTTAAGAAAGCAATAATGATTTTATTTTTGAATATAATATAAATTAGAAAATATCATAAAAATTTGAAAAAATAATATATTAATGTTAATATCAAATCAATTATTTAAAAGTTATTATTTTTTATG